GTGTGTGTGTGTGTGTGTGTGTGTGCATGTGTGTGTGTTCGTGTTTGTCAGTTGTTGTTTTTTTATTTGTATTATTACGGTTAGGCTTTGATGCGGAAGGTGGAATGGATTCTGGAAGACGGAAGTGTAGGTTTTATTCGCTATTTTCTTTGTCTCGTTTGTTTGGTAAAAGTTTTACGGCGCTTGCGACTGCATAAGATCATAATAATGAGAAGGTTAACAGGCTGGGTGCTTTCATGTTAGTTCAGGGCACTCCTTGGGTTTGTTTTGCGGATCGAAATGGCAGAACTATCTACAAATATACAGTAAAATGTCTGTTTTAAAAGCTGCAATTAACTTTTTTAAATAACATTATTTACATCGTTTAGTAAAGACCAAAGGCCTTTATAAATCAACGATGGAGAACAAATTTTATAAAGTAGTAGTACATTTGAAGCATTTCCTGCATATAAAAATTTCTCAAACTGAGTAGGTTGTATTGAGGACGTAGATTTGTACTAAGAGTAATTTGCTATAGGCAGGAGGGTTACAAAATTCCAAAGCTTTAAGCAATCTGGAATGAGAATTTTCCGAAAGTGTAATTTAAGTACCGTTAATGTCTTACAGGTGAGGACTAATAAAGCATACTTTATTTTATCTTCGAATTATTCTGTATCCAGTCTCAATGTGATAAGAGAGGAATATTTCAAAAGAGGGTCATTTCAAACTAGCAAACTTGTTTGTATGGCTGAATGTTTCTGGAGTAGGAGCGTTTTTGTTAATGTTTAGTCATCATTTTTTAAAGTTGCCCACTCTCTTACTGTGTCATAAAAAGAACCGAACCCCAGTGTTTGGCCCTTACTGAAAATCGTCAGTAACCAGCATTTTTGTTCCTTGTAACAACTGCTTATTTAGATCACATTCAGGGTTGTCAAGACAGCATTTTAGGCCCCCAGCCACAGCACTTAACTGAGGTAATAATCTACGCATAGCATCTAAATCTACATATTATATTTGTGAACGTCCGTCACTTTCGCCGCCTAAAACTTCAGAACCACTTAACTTTCGAATTTGCAAAAATTGACGGTAATTCAGAATTATTTAAAGGGTGCACAGTTTTACTGAGGAGTCTGAAGTCACTGTAGTTTAATTTTCTGTTTTTCATTTGTTTCGTTTAGATCTAATCTTGGGAAAGTCTGTCTTCTAAGACACCATTGTGAACAAGTGAGGCTTCCGTTCACAATGAGTGCGCACTCATTCTACACCTTTGAATTTGCCACTATTCTCTCAAGATTTATTGCTCCTCTCTTGTACAGTGTAAATATAGTCCTCATCATCATCCAGTGCTACAATATCTGCGACAGACATCGGCGATCATGGTTCTCCATTCCTTCCTTTGTTCAGAAGCTCTATAAAAACTACGTTTCCCTGATCTTTCCCTGTTACCCATTTGTTTAGGTTCCCTAAGTATGCTGTTCTGGGCCTTCCCCGATCTCGCTTGCCCTCAATTTTGCCAGTGAGAGCTAGATGTTCAAGATCCTTATATCTATTTATGTGTCCCAAAAACTGCATTTGTCGTTTCCTGATTGTTTTTAACATTGAGCGTCCCACGTGGGCTTCATCAAGCACTATATCATTTGCTTTCTTTTCCTTCCACGATACTCTTAGCAGTCTCCTAAGAAACCACATTTCTGTTGCTTCTATTTTATTTTCACTGTCTTTAGTGATTGTCCAGCATTCACAGCCATATAGAACGGTTGACCAAACATAGCATTTTAGAACTTTCATTTTGGTG